GAGCCGCTGGGTTCCCAGTTCCTGTCCTGCCTCCTGCCGATGTCTCCTGGGCACCCCACCCCTGTGCTCTCTCTCTCTTGGAGAAGTGGGTAGTTTGACCTGTGGAAGCAATAGGAGGTCTGTGAGGCTAGTGTACCTCCCTCCTGACCCGGAACCCTGGCCGCTGCGTGCGTGCCCAGTTCCAGTCCCACTGCCAAGTCACCCCGGTGATGCTGGGTAGTCCTCTGCCTGCCATTGTGGTGCTCCACCAGTGAGGGCCCGAGGAGGTTGCAGGGCCTGGACCAACGAGCAGGAGGTACACAGCATTTCTGTGGGTGTCACCAGGAGTCTGTGCCCCACTCTGGCCACATGCCACCTCCAAGCACGGCAGAACCAGCCCCCTGTGCTCTCGGGAACTAGGGAGCCAGTGGCTGCCCATACCCAGAGCCCTGGTCCTGGTGCAGGCTGCGGCTGTGGGACTGGACCATGCTTGGCTGTTCCTTAAGCTCTCTTTTGCACTTGTAGTTGGAGTTCCCGGGCGAGTGGCAGTAAACGCCATGGCTGTGGGAGAACAAGGGCTGACCTCCAAGCCAGCCTCTCCTGTCACTGGGCCGACCCAGGTAAGGCCTTCACTAGTGGACGCATCGTGGAGTTGTAGCAAGGCAGCCCTCATAAGCCGCGTGCCAGCTGCAGCAGCGGCCCGTGTGCCTCACCACACTTCTTTCTGGACTCAGAGCCTTGATGGCAATTACTCATTTTTTGCAGTACATCTTATTTTTGTAACAGTTTTGTTTTCATCAAGTGCCCTTTTTGTTAGCAGTTCCCACAGTGGGAAGTGACCCATCTCCTCTTGCAGTGTGTCTGTGGACAGGTCCCTAGGACAGGTGAAACCCAGGACCAAGGCTGGCTGTGGTCTGAGAGAGACGTGGTTGCGGGCCAGTCCTCTGGCTCTCCGAGCTTTCCTCTGGGGCACAGGAGTTTGTGGTTTGAATTTTAGCCTGGGGCCCAGTGGCCACGGTGGCTGATGGTGACTGAACCAAGAGGGACATCTCCAGAAATCACATCTGTGTCATTTTCTGCAGTTTCTTCTCTGGATCCCCAGTATTTTGTTTTGTCTGGTATTCCCCAGCCACGTCCATGTGATGACAGTGGAGCTGGGTACACTAAAGGCAGAAGGTCTCGTGTGAAGTTGAGTCACACTGTGGGCTGGGCCTTGTGAGCTGGGAGCCAATCCCCATCCACCAGGGTACAGAACTCTATCCCAGTTTCTTCGATGCTTCCTCCAAACCTTTTCCTCCACAGTTCTAAAAATAAGCAGGTGGTCAAGTGAAGGTCTGCACCACGGGGCTCACTGCCATTTTCTCCCTGCTGGGGCTGAGTGGCCTGGCGAACAGGGCTAAAGGCATAGTTAGTCCTTGAGGTGGCAAAGAACCCACCACGCACAGCCACTTCTGACACCTGTCACGATGGTCAGAGTGTCGGCCCAGCAGTGGTTACAGCCCACAGTGCCCAAAAGCTACCTTGATGGCTTTCTGCTGTGTGTCCCCAGGAACACAGCAGCAGCTCGTGCTGGCCCCGGTGACAGGAGAGTGAGGGTTGCAGCACGGGAGCGTGGGTTCAGGCCCCAAGCAGAGCAGTGACGGCTCTCTTGCCGGCCCATGGGGGCTGCGCCCTGGAGCCAGTGGGGCACGTTCTGTGCTCCACACCACCCTGGGCAGTCGGCCCTGGGGATGCTGACCCAGGAGCAGACTTGATGAGAGTTCAGCTTCCTTAGAGGACTCTCAGCCTCAAAAAAACTACCATTTTGCTTTGAGGGCTCAAGGTCATCCCCAGAATTTTGATTTTTTTAAACACACCCTAACTAGTGAAAGAAGAGAGCGTGAGCTCTGGTCACAACCCTTCCCCAGCACTGATGTGCTCGCCCGAGTCCTGGAGAGGAAGGAAGCCTGGTGCTCCTGCTCCTAGGGCTGCAGATGCTGGCACTGACACCAGGCTGTTCCCGGTGCTGGGGAGGCGCCTGGCCATGCTTTTGTCCAGTGACCATGTTTCACCCGTGTTTTTGGTAAAGGAGGAGAAGAGCAGGCTTCTGAAGGAGCGGCTGGATCAGGTCCACATGGTCAATGAGCGGCGCTGTTCCCAGGCCCCCATGTACGGCAGGGACTTGCTACGCATCTGCTCCCTGCCTGGCTGGGGAAGGGTGCCCTGGCCCACACCCGTTGACCGCAGCTTGGGAAAGAGGTCCGGGCCAGTGAGCTTTCCCTCAACCCCCTCGAGAAGCGTGGGTGATCTGATTTTGAGCTTGAATCGACGCCAGGAGTCCCTGCAGGACGTTCTGGACAGGTAAGGCGGGGTCCAGGTAGGGAGAGGCCTTGGCCTCTGCTCCCTCGTAGTGCCGCACCCTGGTAGTTTTCTAGGTTGGATTTTCTTATTCTCTGCTCGTCTCCCTGAGTTGCCCCTTAGGAGTGTTTGAAGCCATTGTTGGCGGTCTGTAGCTTTAGGACCAGAGAACTGTTGGCTGGGCATCCCTCTTTGAATGTTGGCGGTGCTGGGGGCAGGGCCATGGCACACCGTGTCCTGTACTTCTGCTCAGCTTCCTCCTGCCTTTCAGAAAAGCAGTTTGAAAATAACCACATGTACAATCAAATATCACAAGGGTTGAGCTTGGAGTAAGCCTTGGTCGAGAACAAGCCAAGTGCTGGAGGGCTGCAGGCTCCAGGCTCAAGCCCCTGGAATCTGGGCTCACTTCTGTCGGTGCTGACCTCAGGTGCAGCCCATGTGTGTGGCCCTGATGTCTGGGCTCAGCATCAGGGACTGATTTCCCTTCTTTGGCTGACTACATTTTCCCCATTACTCCCTGTCTAAAGGGAGGTTCTGCTCCAGACCCTGAGCTCAGATTTCAGTGTCTGCCTGTTTCAGGTCTCAGGTCAGGGATAGATAATGAGGGCGGGGTGGGGGATAGGAAACTGGGAGCACTTTCCTAGGGCTGAGCAGGCCAGTGCCAGCCCCTCCCGGCCTGGTGTGATTGGCCATTGGCCTCTTGTTCTGGTAGACTCTTCTTTCTTTCAAGTGCTGCTTGCCCTTGCAGATTGTAGACAGCCTTTCCATGTGAACACATCTGGGAGCAAGTCATTGAAAGTCCAGGCTCAGCTGATGTTCACAGGAAGAGCTTTTCTGGTGCAGGTGACCTGGAGGAGTCAGGCTTGCCATGGCATGGTCCTGCTATCAGCAGGGTCCTTCCACCCGACCTCTGCATGGTGTCTGCAGTAGCCCTAGGGATCACATCTAAAACACAGCGTGCCCCTGCCCCCAGATTCCCAGATGGGCAGGAACTTCAGGCAAATGGGGCCACCTGCGAGCTGGCTCTATGGCCTGTGACACCCTGAGCTGGTTCTTGCAGCCTGGGCTGTCTGAAGTGGCCCAGAGGCTGTCTTCCCCTGCACTGTCAGGCCTGCTTAGGCCACGCAGGGCATTGTTCCTAATGCCTGATGTATACCCTTGTCCTCTGCCACACTTGTTGCCAGGTAGCTCTGCCCTCCTCCGCCTGGACCTCTCTGCCTGCCAGGGGACCCTGGGTGCCACGCAGTGATGTGATGGCATATGCTTTGTGCTTTCTGCTCTGCAGGGTGGCCTGTGTGATCCCTCCGGTGGTGGCCACACCCCCTTCCCTGTGGGTGGCCAGGCCACCCACTTTATACCGCCGCAGGCTGCGGACCTTGAGGCAGCGACTGCGAGAGCACACTGCCCCCTATGCCCAGCAGCTGCGGCAGCTGACCTCCCTGCGCTCACTGCAGTTCCCCGAGCTGAGGCTGGTGCAGTTCGACTCAGGTAGGCGGATGCCCTACCCACGTGGTTTGCTGCATGAAATGCACCTGCATGACTGCAGGGTGCTCTTGGTGTTGTCTCCTAGGAAAGTTAGAAGCTTTAGCCGTCTTGCTCCAGAAGCTAAAGTCCGAAGGACGTCGGGTGCTTATTTTATCCCAGATGGTTCTCATGCTAGACATTCTGGAGATGTTCTTGAACTTCCATTATCTCACCTATATAAGAATTGACGAAAACGCCAACAGTGAGCAGCGACAGGTAAGAAACGCGACACCTTGAGTCATTTGTGACCCAGTGGCACTGGTTCACGTTCCCTCTAGGGACCTCATTTCTGTGTGCCATGTAGACTGTTGCCCTGATCCTCCGAGGAGTGTGAGTGCAGCAAGTCTGTCTCCTCCCTTGATGTTCTTAGCATGGGTCGTACTGCCCAACAGGACAAGGCACTGACCTGCCGTCACTGCCGGACGATGTCATACTTCAGAAGGTGGCTCTGGGGTGACTTAGGGTTGAAGCACGTGCCTATTTTTTGCATATCAGATTGGCTAGACATTGCTCTGATTCCTCGGGTGTGAGACCCACTGCACATGCTGCCAGGCGTTGCCCTGACGTGACTTTATGGAAGGCAGCATGGCACTGTAGTTCACCTTGAGGTGGACAGATGGCTGGCCCACCAACCCGCCCCAGGACCCCCTGGGACAGCAGCAGTGCACCCATGGGGTGCTCATGTGTGTGGAGAGCACGTGCGGAGGGGGTGTGTCACCTGCCCACGTCTCATAGCATGTGCAGGTTTCATTGTGGTGGACACACATGGGGATAGTCCCAGAAGGGAGGGGCTAGCTAGCTGGTGTTCCTGGCAGTAGTTTTGCAAATTTTATGTAATTTTTTTTAACCCAGGGGTACCACATCCCCAGCCCTTTTTTATAATTTATTTAGAGACAGGGTCTCACTGAGTTGCCAAGCACCTTGCTAATATGCTGAGGCTGGCTTTGAACTCTCAATCCTCCGGCCTCAGCCTCCCAAATTGCTAGGATCACAGGCGAGTGCCCCCGCACCCAGCTTATGGAGTTTTTTGGAGGAGGAGTATCAGTTAACTCTTAGGTCTTGTTCTGGTGTGGAGATATTTTACAAAGAAGCTTTCAAGTTGCCATTTCAGGTCATGGTCTTGAGTGGGCAAGGAGGGTCTCTGCACGGACTGGATTTTCCGTCCTCAGCCTTACTCCAGGGGCTTTTTTGCCTGTGAAGTGCCCTGGCATTGCCTGAGGATATAAGAGAAAGCACGTGCCTCCCCACAAGGCTCTGATCTCGTGGGCCACAGGCTGAGCTGACAGTTAATGCTTGGGGCGGGGGCTGCCTGACGTCCTGCACTCCTCAGTGCTCAGAGGTGCTTCTGATCACAGTGGGAGGTGATTCACAGGCGGGAAGAGCAGAGCATGAGAGGTGACACTGTGGTGTCGCTTTCCCCTGGACTTGTGTCACGTGGAGCCAAACCAAGCAGTCTTGTCATTTCCAGGCTCAGAGCTCTGTGATGCTGGGCAGGTGCCCTGCTGCTGAGCTGCCCCCCACACACACACACACAAACACACCTTTATTCTACAGTATCTTGGGGTGGGCTTTTGCTGAGTTGCCCAGGTTGGTCTTGTGGTCATCCTGCCTCTTCTCCCGAGCAGCACGGATCACAGACGTGGCCGCAGGAATGGTGATGTAGGTCACTGCGGTGTTGGTGACATTGGAACGCCGGAGGCCCTTCTGCGTTTTCTGGGCATGCTAACTGAGCGTTCTGCCCTTTCTCAGGAGCTGATGCGGAGTTTCAACAGAGACAGGCGGGTTTTCTGTGCCCTGCTCTCCACCCACAGCCGTGCCACAGGCATAAGCCTTGTGGAGGCGGACACCGTGGTCTTCTATGACAACGACCTCAATCCAGTGATGGATGCCAAGGCCCAGGAGTGGTGTGACCGGATTGGGAGGTGCAAGGACATCCACATATACAGGTGAGAGCCCTGGGCAGCAGTGTCGAGTGCACGCAGTGAGGTGTGGCGGTGTGGGTGCCGTTGCTGCACCACCCTGGAGCGCCCGCAGCTCAGTGGGGAGTCACGGTTTGGGTTACTTCACCTGTTGGGAAATACAAACCATCCGTTGAGAGAATTTAGATTTGTTGTTAACTTGAAGCATAGAAAGTGTAACTGGCCAAATGTAGCTAATTGGAGAAAAATAGAAAAAAGGCCTTTTGCATGTTTTTGAATCCCTGAAGGATGATGGTATGACGCCCATTCGTGGGGTCATCTCACACGCTTTGCTGCCCCGAGGGTCAGGGTGTGACTGGCCACTGTTGCCCACCTCAGAACCTGGCACCCTGTGGACCCTGAGGGTGAGTCCAGGGGGCAGTTCTGTAGCCTTGGCCGCAAAACCTGGGCAGGAAAAAAGAAGGAGTATTGACAGAAACAAAATAAAAGTTAACATAGCAAGAAGATGTCGTGGACAGAAGCAGATGGTGGGCCATAGACAAGGAGGGCTGCTTGCAGCTCTCCTGCCATCGAGAGGGAAGGTGCAGGATGCTCTTACTGTTAAAGGGAGGCGGAGACCTCAGTGTGCAGAGGCAGTTCAACCAGTGGAGCAGCTTGGGACAGCAGCTCCGTGGCAGGTAGGAGGAGGAGGTCTCCCGTGGGTAAAGACAGGCAGCCAAAGGACCTCCCCCGCTATGTGAGGCTGCTTGCTGTGGCTTTGCCCACATGTGGCATACAGCAGGAGCTGTGGGGGCTGTTGCCAGGGACAGCACTGTGGTGGAGCAGCCAGTGGACAACAGACCATTGGGGGTTCTGTAGTATGCTCTCCAGTGTGAGTCAGGACACGGTGGGCAGGTGGTGCCAGGTCCTGAGCCTGGAGGAGGCTCCCTGGGTGGGCCTGGGAGATGCCTGCTTAGCCAGGTGTGCTGGTGCTGCCCAGGGCCTGCTTTGCTTAGAGCCTGTGGGCTAAGGTGGAGGCAGAGTCACACTGGGCCCAGGTGAGTTTCCCTTCGTGTTTTTGTAGGGTCTGGTGAGCAGACGCCAGCATGATGAGCACATTCCATGTCTTCTTCCCAGGACCACTGTCCTTCACTCACTTCTTCTCCCTTCTGTGGCCTGGGCACTGAGTTTCTCCAGGAACTTCTGATTATCACTTTCTGTGCCCTTCTGAGTGGTTTCCGTTGCCCTTCTGAGTGGTTTCTGTTTAGGTTCCTGAGTTTGGAATTTTAGGGAAAATTCTACTTGTTCCCTTTTGAAAACCTTTAATTTTTTAATCTGCACGTTCTTGGTTTTAGCCTTTAAGATTTTAAAGCAGAAGGGCATTGTGGGAAGGTGACAGACTGATGGCTGTGCCAAGACCACTTTCGGGGCCCTTGTTCCATTGTCTGTCACATGAGGGCAGCATCTGCCATGGGCCTGCCTGCTCACTGTCCTGCTGGGGTGAAGAGTCGTGTCCCATGAGCACCTCAGCAGGTGCAGTGGAATGACCCTGGGTCAAGACTGGCCCCCTGCACCTGCCTGGCCTGGCTTGGCCACGTCCCCAGGTCTCAGGCTGCCTTTTGTATGTTCTTTTGCGCCAGGCTTGTGAGTGGCAACTCGATTGAAGAGAAACTGTTGAAAAACGGAACAAAGGATCTGATCCGCGAAGTGGCAGCGCAGGGCAACGACTACTCCATGGCCTTCCTGACCCAGGTGTGCCCTGTGTGCAGGTGCGGGGTGGGGGGGGGCAGCGGCTGTCTGGTGGTTTCTTTGTGCGTTCCTGCCGAGTGACCTCTCCTCTGTGTATAGCGGACCATCCAGGAGCTATTTGAGGTTCACTCCCCACTGGATGACACCGGGTTCCCAGTGAAAGCCGAGGAGTTTGTGGTGCTCTCTCAGGAGCCTACTGTCAGCGAAACCATCGCGCCCAAGATCGCCAGGCCATTCATAGAGGTGAGGACAGCAGGGTCTCCCTGCAGCCTGAGGGCATCTGCAGGGCTTGGCAGCTGGCACACTCCCTCAAGGGTGTCTGAGCGCTCAGCCCTGGCTCCTGGCCATGTGCCCTGGCCTCCTTCCCTGCCATCTGCCATCCAGGGGCTGAAGGAGTGCAGAGGGAGTGGGAGGAGGAGCCTGGGGCACATCAGCAGTCTCTTGTGTCCCCTGCAGCTCCTCTGACTGGAGCACTCTGCAACCATGTGGCCACCAAGCTGCAGGGTCGAGCTCGCAGCTTGTGCTGAAGGCATGGGGAAAAGGGCCCACCACACACCTCATTCATCCCCCCACGTAGATTAAGTGTCACATACCTCCATCATCCCTTGGTCACTCTTCAAGTGTAAGGACAGGGGGGCTCTAAGCTGGTGCCCTCTGGGTGGTCAGCTGTGTGGACACATCCCAGGCTGGCTTCAGGGACCCCTCTGTCCGTTGATTCTGACTGTGCACAGGTCCCCGCCCCCATCCTCCCTGAGCTCCTGCTTCCTCCCACCCATCCAAGGAGGGGCTTCTTCCCTCCAGACCCTCTTTCTGGGCCTGCCTTCCAGTGCCCCTGCCAGTGAAGCACCAAGTGCCACTCATCCACCATCGGCTGCAGGGTGGCCACTGGCTTCCCAACTTGCTTATCTCTTAGAAAGCTGTGAGTAGTGCATGGTGGGTGACAGACTCTGCCCGTGTAGCCCCGCACCACTCTGCCCTTCCCTGTAGGCCGTGCTGGCCACACAGCCATACTGCTTCCCAGCACAAGCCCTTGGGCACTGAAAGCTGGCAACCTGGAGTACTAATTCCAGAGGTGAGGTTAGCAGGGTCTCCCTGCAGGCTGCCAAACTTCCCACTGGACTCTCCTTCCCCACTCTGGGACAGCAAGTTCTCATGTTCCCTTCCAGAAGCTTCCTATATATGATTTCCGTCACCCAGAAATGTCTTAGAGATGGTTCTGTATTTATGTTTAAAAACAAGTGATGTTAGCAGGAGAGTGATAGTAGGGAGACAGCCTTTCCCAGTGGTGACCGTGCAGCTGTTCAGGTTCCCGTTGCCTAGGCCAGGATGCATGTCTGAGGTCCCATCTGCCATGGCCTGTGCCTCACAGCCTGTTTGGCTCTGGTCAGAGCAGCACAGCTTGTCCTCATAGAGCATTTCCACTGTGCTAAGGGTCTCGCTGTGTGTCAGCACTGTGGGAGAAAGTGGGGCAGCGGTGGGCAGGGTGGGAGTCCCACTTGACGAGGCTCACCTTCAGGTGAGGAGTGCAGACAGGACAGCAGGCCAGCTCACAAGCGTTGCACCCCAAAAGCCAGGGTGGGGCAGGGGTGAGGCCTGTCAGGAAGGGCCCCCAAGGGTGCAGTATTGCCAGGACCTGGCCCAAGATTGTGTGGAGCAATTGTTCTGGCTCCTGTGTTGAGGCTGGGTCACGGCAGGCCGGGGAGCCTGCGGGACAGAGTGGGCAGTGGTGGGGTGGGACTTGTTGTGGGGCATGACTTGTTGTGGGGTGTGAGAGGAGGGCGGCTGCTCCAGCAGGGGCCAGCACTGCGGCTGGAGACTGATAGAGTAACCTTCTGCTGTTGTGGGCATATACATCCCGAACTTGCCTCTGGTGACCAGGGCGCGGCTGCAGGGCCATGCTCATGGGGGAAGAGGGGGTTGTGCCTGAAGGGAGCTTCAAGGAAGATTTCTGTTGAGGTCTGAAAACTTGCAGAGTGTGTGCCTCACAAAGCTCCAGCTGGATGCGTTTGACTAAGTGACACACATGGCTGTCACCCTTAGTCACCACTCAGAGGCGAACCTCAGAGGGAGGGCTGGTCACAGCTAGTTTGAGTTTGGTATAAGTGGACCCTGACTGGGCCCCTGATCTGCGTGGTGCAAGTCTGCCTGCTGTCTTTCTGGGGAGCCTTCTGCTGGGTGAGCACTTAGCTCTTCGCTCAGACCTGCTGTCCTAGCTTGGTGGGCTCTGTTTTAAAGCTATTCCCGTTGTCTTGTGCACAAATGCATGTGAATGTGAAAACAGATTTCTATGAGGCACGAGCCCCGGGGTGGGGTCCTGAAGGTAGGCCAGCAGGTGTGCACGATGAGTGCTGGAGCAGCCTGTGGTGTGCAGAGGGCATATGGTACCCATTCCCCTGCCTGCAGCATCTTGCACCCTTCCAGGGCTAGGTGCTGGCCTGGGGGACTTGTGATAGTCTTTGGCAGCGGCTTTAATTTGCGTCTTGCTGTTGAGTAATACATTTGAACACCCCCTTGTGTTCATGGCAGTTTGGATGTTTCCCCAGCCCCTGTGGCACTGGGGTCTGACCCAGGGGTTTGCCTATGCTAGGCAGATGCTCTTCCACTGGCCCACGCTTAATCCCCTGATGCTTTCAAAATAAA